GGGAGCCCTATTAGAGCACATTACTAAAATATTAAAGGCTGCATTCAACAACAGAGCCCAGTCTATTCAATTACATTTCTATTTATTTTTAGATACAATAGCCAACACTAAAAATAAATGTATGCAAACATATAAACTGCACATTTGCACACTGCAATTTTCTAGCAACAAGCTGTGGAATGACTTGCCTGCGGTAAAGGTAATTAAGGCGGTTTTATTGGCATTTTTCCGCAGTTGCAAAACTGATTGAGATTACATGACATGAGCGAGTTTGTTTCACGTTATAACCGGTTGTAACTAGTAGAAAAGAGTTTTAAAGGGAAGGAATGATGATATTTGGCTCACTCTGAGTTGGGTTATGGCACTGTTTTGGTTCAGTTCTGGCTAAAAAGATGTGGACCAGTTTTGGGCCGCGAACACAAACTAATCTGGGCCACACTTTAGCTGTTGATATGATCCAGATCTTCGCCAAAGGAAATTTGCTGACTGGGTTGCTCTCCGCGCTTCCGCTTGCAGCGGTCTGTCACGCCACATCAAAGAGCGTCAAAACGGCATTTATGGATTTAATTTCCTGATAAAATATACATAATTTTAAAAATGTGACTTTGTTTCTTATCGAAAAGAACAGAACACAAACCTTACGATTACAGATTGTAATGTATAGTAATAATGTATAGTGAAGATTTATTTACAAATTGAAACGGATTAAGTTCCGCACGTACAGTGGTTAAAACGACACTGTATTTGTTCGGTACAATTTTCGGTACGAATAAGTGTACCATTACACCCCTAGAAAACATTTAAAAAACCATAACTGCACTTACCTGAATAAGAATGTGTCTGGGCAAAAAGGCTGTTGTTGTAAATAGGGAGCTTTTTCATCATCTTCTTTTTTAACGGCGATTGAAAGAGGAAGCAGAGCGGGAAATAACGGATATATTTTCAAAATTTCAGTAATCCACCAATAGGAATAAGGGAAGATAAAGCAACCAATAGCATTGTTGAATGGGCTGAGATGTGGACTGCCACTGTGTTCTTCCAAATAAAAGCCAAATGTTAACCATAAGTTAACATATTCCATGGTGTGCCATAGCCAAGCCACATATGGCTCTCAGTTGTGTGCTATCATCTGGGCCATATACCTCAAAAAAAAAAAAATTGTCATCCAAAAGAAAATTCCCTCCTATACTAAATCCATGGCAAAACATATACGGTTAAATTTTGGCCCATATGTGCTCAGCCATGCCATACCTAGGCCAAATGTGACAGCTATCAGCCACATTTGGCCCAAACGTTCTTGCTATCTGGGTTGCTAGTATGTTTAAGCACATTGCTAGCATGTTTTAGTTTGTTGTTAAAATAAATTAGCATGTTACTAGCATTTTAAACGCTATGTTAGCCTGTTCAGCATGTTCTGGGTGGTTGCTAGGGTGTGTCTTAAGTCATTGCTATGCTGTTACTAAGGTGTTCAAGATGGTTTCTAGGGTGTTTTGGTGGTTCTTAGGATGCTATAGATAGATATGTGTCTGTATGATGTTCTGGTGTTGAGAAATGGCCTCTTAAAGTTGCTACAGTTGCTAGGGTGCTGTAAATGATTGCTAAGGTGCGACCAGACAGTTTCCACGGTGAAGGAAGTTGCTATAGTTGCCTAGTCAAAAAAGCCAGCAGTCATGTCTCTACGACAGGCATGTCAAACTCAGCTCTCCTGCAGAGTTTAGCTCCAGCCCTAATTAAACACACTTGAATCAGCGAATCAAAGTCTATAGGAGTGCTAGAAACTGCCAGCCAGGTGTTTTGGAGTTAAACTAATGTCTGCAGCCAGACTAAACTAAATTTTCTTAAGAGACTTGATTGCTTCAATTAGTCTGAACCTCTCGATTCATGTGGATTTGTTTTATGAACTTTCTGAAGCGTCAAAGTTGTAGTTGCATTGACTGCCAATGGAGGAACAGAAATCTCAGAGAAGTACCCTCTGGTATCGTTCGTTTGGGAGTCACACGTGCTGTTCGCGGTCAAAAGTGACCGGACACCTAAAATGTAACTTTTTTTTTTTTAATTTTCAGTGAAATCAATGTAATATATTTTTGTTTGATAGTTTTATTTTGTATTTTGAGAGAATTTCATTGTACTATTTAATACTTATGCAATAATTATGATCAAATGTTCCCATTGAAAATATAAAAAAAAACGTTTTTTTTCTTCAACTATGGCAGTATTTAATGTTAAAATAGGGCCTGTTTACACCTGGTCACTTCATGCGTTTTTTCAGATCGGATAGCTATAGGTGTAAATACCCTCCGAAACGCATTCGAGACGGATATAAATCCGATCGCTCAAACCACTTCAGGAGGTGGTCTGGGATGCATTCCTGACGAAACTGGACAAATGTAAATGCATCTGGTTGATGAAACCACATATGCAAATTTTACTCCTCCCAAAACATTAAAATAATAAACGTGTGAGAGCGTGTTATAGGCTATGACTGTGACATTGTAGTCAGATATGACAGCGCTAATGCAGCAAGCATTGCCGTGGACGAGTATGGGATTACATTTCTGCCACAATTCAGAGTTTTGTGGAGAAAATGTTTGTCTCGCAAAGAAGAAAGTATTTAGAGCGCACAAAAATAATTTTTGCATTTAAAATATGTTTTTGGATGTGAGCAGACCTTCTCTTTTGCGCGTGCAATGTTTCACTAGCTTGCTCACCTGATGCCCGCCCTCAGTGCTCGCTAAATGCCAACAGCTTGCGTGCTCAACACAACCCAGCGTTACAATGTACCATAATTCCAGCCAATCAGAGACCAAGGCTGCTAAATTCTGATTGGCTGCCTTGACAACCAATCACAACATTTCTTGCATTACCTCGACAGCAGAAGAGGAAAAATACAGTGCATGCATAATTATTATGCAAGTTGATATTCTGATTATATTTTTTTCCAAGCACATTTTACCAATAATTATAAGTACTATTAATCTTGTATTTAATCACTTATAATCTATATATTATTGTTCATGAAGGCTGGAAGTGAAAAACGCCTTATATTCATGTGTGCATAATTATTAAGCAGGTTATCTTCCACAGATAAAATCTCGAGATGGACTAAAACCTGGCTCACACTACAGGATTTTTTGCCCGATTTAGCCCCAATTTCCCCCTCCCGAGAATCGGAGCAAAAATCTTGTCGAGCCCCAATGTTCGGCGCGGATTATCTGATAATGTGAGGCATTCACCGATCGAATCTTGCACCTCCCGATCTGCTCGCACACAAATCGGGGCCGCCCCGATCATATCAAACATGTTTGATATTTAGGATGGAAATCGGGATGATGACGGCTATGATTACGTCAGTACTTTCACAATAGCCAATGCGCGACCGCAAAACAGCTGCTGTACGGCTCCATTGGATAGTGGAGACGGAGGAAACTGCTTCTTGATGTTTCATAGTAATTCGACTGTCTGTATAATGTGTCGAAAACGTATCACAACCGTAAGGAGAAAGAGAAGCGCTGGAGTGAAATCGCCTCAGTTTTGAACGTGTACGGGGGTGGCAGGGGGAGTCACGAGCAGGGGGTCTGGGGGCTTTACTCAACTTAAAACACTTTCATCATCCTCATGAATGTATGCTGGTTTACCTAATGGCTGCGACACACACCAGTTTTTGTTCTGTGCTGATCACAATCGAATCCTTTCATTATAACATACAGAGTGTATACACGACGATGTTAATATATTAATTGCACAGTGTGAGTTTCATTGGTCATAACAGAACTTTGTGAGATCATGATGAACTAAGAATGCACCCCAATAAATCCACCCTCCGGGGTATTGATTGAGATTTCTTGTCGTGTGATTCTTCACCCCGTTACACCGTAAAGAGAACAGGTGGAAAAATTACTGGGGAAAGCCATTTAATTGTATTCTAGTAAATAAGAAATCATTTGAGTGCTTGGGCAAAGTTAGAACCGGTGAATGTGGTTTACAGGTTTTATAGAAAGAGAATGATGTGCGCCAAATCAGTTGCTGTAATACTTTAATGATGACTTCAGTTACATTCCTCAGTTTAAATAGATATTTGAGTGTGTGTGGGGCAGAGATGTTTAGGAAAAAGAGAAGAAATTAGTGGGAACATTGCCTACAATGTCTCCCATTGCTAAGAGAACATCCTCCATAGTAAATCATTTTTCAAACTATGAATCAAAACATTCTGTTAAAAAGATTTTTGAATCTTGAAGATTGTTGAATCAATAATAATTACATACATTGGAGAAAGTTGTAGTCTGACCAATCTGAAGGAATTTTGAGATACTGTAAACTTGTAGAGCCTCTTACTATATTATCAACACAAGGAAGACACAGGTGTAATAAAAGGGGTTTTATGGACTAAAGGATAGATGAGTAACTAACAACTACTAAATGAGTACAATAAATAGATAAAGTGCAAAAGATTGATAGATGCAAGTAACTGAGTTGGATGTTACTATGGACGTTATCTTATGGAAATATAAACTGTAGTTTCCTGGAATTAATAAGGTAAACCTTATTCTAGATTCAACAAATAAATTGAGAGATTATTTGTTATTAACTGACATCAGTTATATAAAATCTAATGCATATTAGATAATCGTAAACTGACAATAGACACTAATGCCAGCGGTCTCTGAAAAGAGGTTTGGAAAAAGTGATATTTACGTACTGCCTGGTCATCTGCTGAGTCTGAGTGGTAACGTCTTCCACTTGTTGACCTGGGCCACCATGCAGTGGGAAGAAAGAATTTGGATCTGTTTCAGTCTTATGAATGAAAAATGAGCTGTAAGGTTCCACCCGCCAGCCCCAAAAGCGGAATCCAGCGGCCTGGTCGAAGGCTTAATGCGTATTCAGTCTTTTACTTGCGCTTCTGAATTTATCAGGACTTAGTTTCAATTTTGTCTAACTCCGTTTTCAGTCTGACTCCAATTTCACGTGATCATTAAATTTAGGCAATATTTCTAATCAAAAGCTGATCACAGATATCGATTGTTTATTAATTTAGATATTTGAGTATTCTGTAAATCCCATACTTTCAATTATTCGTTCATCAGGGACCCAATGCCGCTCAGAGATATGTGCCCCGGGTTTGCGGCAAACTAGCCAGTCTGATGTTAGTCAGAGGGTGTAATAAGTTAGCTAATACCTTTTTGTCGGTTGCCTACTGCTCACTCTTACAAAAAGTGTACTTAATTTAGCCACTTCCATACATCTTGCTAAATCAGTGATAGACAGAAATCAAAAGGTCTTCAGATGAAGTGCCTACTGCTCCTTTCATTCATGCGCCTTTAGTTTGTACTATCCTGGACACAGATTTACGGTAGCATTAGCCTCCTATGATTTACTGGTCATAATTAATTCAAGAAAAGTTCAGAATAAATCAAATATAACAATTTATTATTAGTCAGGTAAAATTGTATCATGCCAATTACATAATGAAACAATTAGAAGCCAATTTAGAAAGGATAATGCAATTGTGAAACATATTGTATCCGCGTGGCAACATGGTTTACTGTAGCTATATTGAAAATAGCCAAGTGTTCCATGCAGGAGACAAACAAATTTTACATAGTCACACATGTAACAGTTATCCTAATTTAACACAAGACACACGGTCTAAAATGCATAGCATCAACAACCTTTTACCTAAGTATTTCAAAGAACACTTACAGCAAAGTAATCATGTGTTTTTAAAGAATAAACTCAACTAGCCTATGTGCACATGTAGTAGCACAAACAACTATACAGTGTGCTCTATGCACACAATGTGTTTAACACAATTACATTTTTGAATCGTACCTGACAGCAGAAAAACCCCCATGCAGTGTGTGAGAGTCTCTGGAGCTCTGCACCAGAACTCTCACTGCTGTGTGTCTCTCTACTGTCAAGTACGATTCAAAAATGTAATTGTGTTAAACACATTGTGTGCATAGAGCACACTGTATAGTTGTTTGTGCTACTACATGTGCACATAGGCT